TTTTTTTTTTTTTTTTATGGGACCTTCCTTGGTCCTTGCACTGCCGGGCCGCCCTTCTGGGACCTTCCTTGGTCCTTGCACGGCCGCTCCGCCCCGGAAAACAGGGTGACCCATTCGGCACTGCTGGTAGCCTAGTGTATGAATTTATTACTCCTTTGACCAGGTGTTCTAGCAACCCCGAAGCGATTTAGAGGATTGTAGAAGCTTCGTAGACGGGTAGACTAGAATTGGACATCTAGTCAACCGATATGGACAGGTGTTCTAGTAAGTTAGGGTGCACGGACTCACTATGCACCACATCAAGCCACGGAGCAATTTAGACCCCGCCGACCAGTGAAGATACGGCGGACCATGATGGCGTCACCTGAACGACCTCCGTCAATCAAGAAGTCGGGAGTTGCACATGACAAGGCTGGATATGTGGGGTTCTAGCAGCACGAGCCAGCAGACTCGCGAAGATATTGCAATTGACGTTGGCGTCAACATGAACTTTGGCTCAATCATCTGCGCTGCTGTGGATGGTCTCTCTCCTGATACGTTGGGTTCCTCCTTCATCCTCTCGCCCCCTTCTTCCTCCTCCGCCATGTAAACTAGCTTTTCTGCATGCAATCAGGAAATCGCATAATTTGGGAACCCCCTGAGCGTCAAATATGTGACGTATCAGCTTCTGAGCTTGCGCCATCTTCCGGACCTCTTCTCTCTCTTTTTCTTTTCGAATTTTGCTCAGGCCAACAAGGCCCCTCTTCATTTTTTTGAAGGTGCCTTGCTGAGACCTGTGTTTTTGGTCTCATTGATTCTTGAAATTCCGTTTTCATAATTTAGGAAATGCATGGGAATTACGCGTGCTTTAGCGAGTGCGCTAAGAATTTGGCTCGACGGTTAGAAATTCTGAAATGAACGGAACTCGACGTGTCTTTTTTGTGCGGGAATGTTCTCGACCACGTCGTAGGAAATTCTGAGAATTTAGCGGGAATACGAATAGACGTAGGACTTTCTTTTCCCTGCGCCTACTTTACGAGCGGATATGGTGATTTCAATTTTTGAATTAGCATAGGACTTAAAAATTTGTAACTGTTTTGGTGCCTCTTTTTGCATTCGTGATCGGTGCCATGCATGCGAGCTTCCCCCTTTCTGCTCCCCTCGCCATCTTCGACGCTCCTTTCGTGCCCGCGCCCACTTTCACTCTGTAACCGTTTTCCCTCTCTCTCTCGCCCCGCGCACCTTTTCTCTTTCTTGATCATCTGAATCTTGGATCCGTTTCGCGCTATCCTGCGCACCCTTCTTCCTCCCGCTCTAAGTCCTACGCCCAAGAACCCGGTCGGTCCTCTCTTCACTCCGTCTAGCCAAGGAGAAGCGTCGTGTAAGAGGAAACTCCTATTTCGCGACGACTCTGATTGGCTACAATCGGACTCAGAAGGATCAACATGACTTTCGCCGGGCGATTATCCCCAAGTCCTCCCTCACCCTTCTATGCCCCAATCTTCATCCTCCCTCGTATCTACCTCCCTTTCCGCAACTATAAATTCCGCAAGCGCGCCCGCAAATCTCTCTCTCAACTCGTCTGCCAGCTTCTGGGAAGCGGTGGCTTGATGGTACGTATGGAGTGCGAGTCGAAAAGTCCCGACGGGCTGACTGTAGTCTGGCGGGCTGTGCACCTGATCGCCACGACGGACGGTGGGATCCGAGCAAGCCGTGCAGAGACTAAGTCGGCGGGGTGACGATCGCAATGGTGGAAGGTGGCACGTGACGGCCGGGATCGTCAGTGCATCTACGGGGATAGTGATAAGAGTTGAATGGATGAATGGCACGGGGCCATAGTGGAACTTCACGGCGGATGCGCCTCCTTGTCTTGAATATATTCTTTGGTGTGAGTTCAGTTCAATAGCAGCTAAGCCTGAGACCCTTTTTCATCATCGGATCTTGGTGTAATCTTTATCTATCTTGTCGTTCTCATCTGCTCCGCGTCTTCTTCCTCCCTACCTACTCCCTCTATGACATAAACGGTTATGAATGCTTGTCGGTCTCTCGCACACGAGGAACGGGGCAGGGGTGCAGAGCACACGGAGAACTGAGTGATGTTTGGCTGCCATTTTCGCACCTTTTTTGATGAATGTCTATGAGGATGAATAAAAATGCTTGGATGATGAGACAATTGCCTGATGGACTTGTCTCCGACCAGACCGTAGGATCGTTGTGATTAACATGTGGGACGCATGCTAGATAGGATCTCACTATTGCCATGTGGACCGATTGTCCCAAGCCAACTGGGCACCGGCCTCCCGCATCCCTGCCACGCCCCTTCCCGTACAACGAGAAGAGAACACGTGTATGCGAGTGGGACGTGCGGGAAGTCGTCGCCAAGATCGGCGGGAGATACTACTTCCCTCCTGAAACTCGATGCTCTGGATTTATCGGTGCTGGTTTTGTTATTGTGGAAACACACTTTCCGCCTTATTCGTTGCTATTGCCGTTCAATGAGTTAATCGTCATCCCGTGGTCGGCAGTGGTGCCCCATTGGCCCAACACTTTGTGCAGCGATTGCCGCCGCTTCGAGCGTTACCAATCGAAGGGCTTTCACTACGGAGTACGAGGTGAAGATGAGCATAAGGAAAAAGCCACTCGGTTAAGGCCTTCCACGTCAGACTCAGAGTTGTGCAATGAGAGGCGTCGGGACTTGACCCGGAAACGGGATACCAAGTACGTGCCCGCCCCCTTTCACGCGAAACGAAAAGCGACGGCTCGATGCGAAGTTCAACGATACTTTTTGGATTGAATTTCCCCGCGCCGTGAGTCCCGCGCGCGCCTTCTTCTCCCTCAAAACCCACACGGTGACAGACCCTCCCCCTTCTCCCCCTTCTTACTAAGTCGGACCGACACAGGGGATTTCAGTTTTGTCCGTGTCCCCACACTCAATTTGCCAAAAATCCTTGGCACACCCCATCTTGCTGCCTTTCCGGGGCCCCTTCCGCAATTTTAAACACTCCGAACGGAAGCAGCACAGGGCTTGAGGTTGAGCGTCACAAAACGCATGCTCCTGCCGGACTTCCTATTGTCTTGTAGTAGACACGATAGCACTCACTCTGTCGCGTCTCCCTGAACAAACCACCACCCACCCTTCCCAACAACGCCCCTTCCCCTCCCTCCGCATGCGAACGTTTGAATTTCAAAAGAGCTGACCTCCCAACGGCCTTGCATGCCGTGGGAGCGGCCTGACATGCCCGCGATACCGCTGCTGGGACAACGGCCTCAAATGACAATGGTTCCACTGCTTCTACCTGCCACCACCAAAGGACTGTATGCTGTTCTCCGCACGGACGCGGACAAAAAACAGCCATGAACCAGGAACAGACGAAAATGTGCATTTAAAAAATAGAAAACAAACAAAATACCTGGTTTCACCGGCTTTACAAAGGGCGTGCTCTTGAACTCAAGTCACCTCCGAGAAGTGACTTGAATTCAAGGGCAATTTTCGTTACGTCTCCCTTGAGTTCAAGGGCACGCCCTTGGGACGCAAAAAATGTGAGAACAAAGGGGGTCGCTCTAAGGGGGGGTGGAACGATGATTTTTTGCATCTCTCTTGAACTCAAAGTGGTGTGGAACGATGCCCTTACTACTACCATTATACTATTATGCACACGCCCGTGATGCTGACGTTTCGGCCTGTGTCTTTGTATGATATGAAATGGAAAATTTTGAAGTTTGAGGAAAACGGAAAAAGAACATTATGGGAACGGCTGTTCGAATCCTCCGCCCGTGCGAGCAAAAGCGAAAGGGCACCGACTGGCCTGAACTGTTGACATACGGACCGAAGTTCGACCTCCATCGAAAGCTGACGAATAAAATACAACAAACAATTCTGAATTTACCTACAGGTAGTGAGAGGACAGATCGATGAAGGTATCTCATCTCAAGGCTGTCGCCCCCCTCCCCGCCAAAAAAACGAAAAATCGAGAGGGCGCCCACTCGACGATGGGGGTTTTGCATCTTTCCGGTGCCGCTCCATGCGCCGCCAGGAGTCCTCCAGGCTACACCACGCGGAGCGTGGTATATATCAGCAGGTGAAGAGGCGTATGGGGGCTGCATTGACACTCAAACAGAGGGGGACATACAGTCTCGACAGGCTCTGATCAGTTTGTGCGAGATAGATAGATCGATAGATAGATAGATAGATAGATAGAGAGAGAGAGAGAGAAGAGAGAGAGAGAGAGAGAGAGAGAAGTAGAGAAGAGATGGCGCCAGGGCAATCGCCATCCGCTGCGTTAGACGCGTTAATTGTGTCACTACATGAGGTGGAGGCGGTTAAATTCGGGTCATTCAAGTTGAAAAGTGGGATAATTTCTCCCATCTACGTGGACTTACGTGTCATTGTCTCTCATCCGAGCCTGTTGCGTGACGTGGCTCGTGCCATGCTGTCGGCCTTCCCGCGCGATTTGGACCCGATCGTCGCCTTCGATGTTCTCTGCGGCGTGCCCTACACGGCCCTCCCCATCGCGACCATCATGTCTCAGATCTTGGCCATTCCCATGGTCATGCGGAGGAAGGAGGTAAAGGACTACGGCACCAAGAAGGCCATCGAGGGTGCGTTCTCTCCGGGCGCCAGATGTCTAGTGGTGGAGGACCTTGTGACGAGCGGAGCGTCCGTGCTGGAGACCGCAGATGCGCTGTCGGCGGTGGATCTCGTTCCCACCGACGTTGTTGTGCTAATCGATCGTGAGCAAGGAGGAGAAGAGCACCTGGCGGCGCGTGGGCTTAAACTGCACTCAGTTGTGGCTCTCTCTAAAATGCTGGACGTCCTTGTCGCTCATGGAAAACTCACCGCAGACTGCGCAGAGTCTGTCCGAGTATTCGTTCGAGATAACCAGACGAATGCACCGCCAGGACCTCCTCCTCCTCCTCCTCCTCCTGCTCCTTCTCCATTACCTTCTACCCTTCCGCCTGCGCCGACTGAGGCCGCCGTTGCCAACCAAAAGCGGCAAAGACGAAGCTATGGAGATCGAGCTGTATGCGCACAGAACCCCACCGGCAAGAGGCTGTGGGAGCTCATGGCGAGGAAGAAGACCAATCTTTGTGTGGCCGCTGACGTCGCCAGCTGTGCAGATTTGCTTACATTGGCCGAGGCGGTGAGTGATTCGTCCGGCATGTCGCGTTTTGCTACCGCCATTCCCACCATCTCCATCTCTCTCTGTGTCTCTGTATCATCTGTCTGTGTGAGAAACTGCTCTCACCCACCTATGCATCTACGCCATCATCTATTGATCTAAGTGTCCCTCTATGAGAAAACCTCATCCGCCACCCACATGTATATAAATATGTGTGTGTGTGTGTGTGTGTGTGTGTGTGTGTGTGTGTGTGTGAGAGAGAGAGAGAGAGAGAGAGAGAGAGAGAGAGAGAGAGAGANGAGAGAGAGAGAGAGAGAGAGAGAGAGAGAGAGAGAGAGAGAGAGAGAGAGAGAGAGAGAGAGAGAGAGAGAGTCCCTCACATTTGCACAAATTTATGGGGTCCTGTACTTACTGAGATGTCGGGGGTGCTTGCTGATATCACCCTCTGCGGTAAGCCCCGAAGATGTTAAAAAAAAGAGAGGCCATTTCTGCGAATCTGTGCGTTCCTTCCCATCCTGAAGCGTGACGGCCTTGAGATATCACTGTCGAACAGAGTTATTCTATTTAACTCATCGAGTTTCATCTGGATTCGAACACAGGTCACGGTCTTGAAGTATCATTATTGAACAGAGTTGTTTTATTTACTGTAATTCATCGAGTTTCATATGGATTCGATCTCAGGTCCGTATTTCAACAGGTCATGGGTGTAGCAAGTGATGAGCTACGTAGGCCCGTTGGTGCGAGTGGCCTTCTGTGGTTGACATCAGCGGGCCTTTTTGTTCCAATGCATGCCCTCGTAGCCAGTGCCAAGAGTGCGAGTGAGGGCCAAAATGGGCCAAAATGGGCCATTTTCTGGGGAGGAGTCAAGAATTCTCAATAGTGACGAAAATGGCCAAGATGCAGTAGAGTCAATTACAGCATTGTCGCTAAATAAATAAATTCAGGGGATGGGGGAAAAGGCAGGTAGGGAGGCATACTATATTAAAGGTTTCTCCTCCTTCTCTCCCCCTCCTCCATCCCCGCCCCCCCTCTCCTCCTCCCCTCCCCACGGGGACCCCGTTTTCTTGCCCGGCGATACTATGATTGACGCACGAAGTGAGTGGCGATCACTATGCGCTCGTATTTGTCTAAATTTAGTAACAGGTAGGCATAATCCGTTTGTACTTATTTTCCTAAAATAGCAACAATTTGGCAGTATCCGTGGGCGAGGATGATCGCAGCTATCAATAGTCAGTGACGTCTGAATTTTTTTTTGTTTGTTTTATTTTGTTTTGTTTTGGTAGTGAGTGAGTGGCTGGGTGTTTTGAGTTCTTCCTCGTGATATTCGGCGCTAATCTATTTTCCACGGAAGTGCTAGGGGGCGGAGTTCGGCTTCCAGTAGCACCGTTCAGTTTCCTCAACACCTGAATGTGGACGTGTTTAAGGGGATGCGCAGAAATCGCGTCGAGCGTCCTCAACTGCACATCGCCACAAACACGGCCAGATTCAACCGTTGAGGAAACTCAACGCTGCTAGCGGGACTTGGCCCCGGGTAATCTTTCTCCCACAGCATTACGGCGACAGGCGGGCGTGCGCGAGCCCGAGCAGGCGAGGTTGGGAAACGTTTTTTATTTTTTTTGGTAACCGATCAGAACTGATGCTACACGTGATCTTAGCATAGTAAAGAGGATTGGATTTAATGCCTGAATCCGGACGTGTTTGCGGATACATGCAGAAAATCGCTATTGATCTGTCCTTCTGCATTTCTGCTTAAAACCCACCCAGCTTCAGCCTTTTTAAAATCCAATCCTCTTTGTTAGTGGGACCTCGAACACAGACACGCTTTTTCTTACTGAAAAAAAAAAGAAGAGAGAATCCCCACGCCTATGTGACGCTCTTGTTACTGCAGTCAGTAGATAGTGGAGCTCGCTCCACTACTCACCAATTGTGCAAAATGGGAATGTATCTTCCGTCAAAACATGGAAAGATACACCGTCATAAATTTTGTATTTTGTGCATGTGACGAGTAGCGGAGCAAGGCCAGAGGACGGCGACGTGTTATCAGTGTTTTTTTTTTTTTTTTTTTTTTTTTTTTTTCCGAGCGCGATCAGTGTTTCGGTTTGTTTGTTACCTATCCAAAAAAAAAAAAAAGCGCTTGCCACGTGTCACTTACCTGTTTGTGGCGGCTACCGTCTTTACCCGAATAGAACGCCCGGTCATTGTCATTGCATGTCGACCGAAAATTGCTCCAAGTACGGCAATAACGAAGGGGCGTTCTATTCGGGTGAAGACGGTATGGTGAAACGAGTGTCATCTAGACGCGTAAGTTACATCAGCAGTAGGAAGGAGGGATTTTTTTTTTTTTTTTTTTTTTTTAAGAATGCGCGAACAACAAAAGATGAAAGAGAGGTAAGTAACAATGAAAAATACACTACTCGCAAAATATGTATATATCCGGCTCCCCCTCCCCCTTCTCCTTCCCCTCCCCCTCCCCCTTCTCCTCCCCCTCCCTCTCTTG